CAGGGTAAAGGTTCTCCTCGTACATATGTGCTAGTCGTTCCTGACTCTAGGGGGCAGTTCCCATCTCCCTTTCAAAGCCAAAGAGCCAGCTCTGTCCGAAGACGTCTCCGTGGTCATGTGGCTGGCGTGACTCAACGCCAAAGGTGAACGGAACGCTGTTCCCTTCCCACCAAAGGTGGTCCCTATTTTTCTACTTGCATATTTACGTGCTTTCGAACTGCTAGATTGGCAGAAGCCGGGACAAGTAACAGTTGCTCACTCCATTACGCTGCCCTAGGGATTCAAACCGCCGAACTGTCGACCTTCCTGATCGACAAGCTCGGCATCTTAGCCACTGAGCCACCGCTTCCCCTTAATTGATTAAGTAAGTCTAATAGATTAATGTAAGGTAAACATGATCATGAATTGTGTTGCATTACTTTTCTTTTTCTTTTTTTGTTTATTGTAGCAATATGAATAAATCATGTCTTCTGAAAAGGTGTCAGAATTACCACGGAGCCTTGTGAAAAATATTCATTTATTCCGATGTGACATACCATAGCATTGTTCAATTACTTTATTTACTCTGTTGTAATAGAGCTCCTTTGCACTGACATAATGGTGACACGTTATAATAACAATCTATTATAAAAATGACAACAAGAGTCTCAAAGAAATGCATTTCAGAGCAATGCATGCTTTCAATATTATTATTATTTTAATGCTCCCATATATATGTACATGTATATGTAATCCCTTAATATGGGATAGAGTCAGAGCAACTGAATAGAGCTGTGCATTTACTGACCAGGTGCCCTTCCTGCTGCCTACACAGAGTTCGCAGCAAAGAGAGAAATATCTGTCGCTTCCTAGAATTGAACTTTCAACCTTCTTTTTGATGTTGTGCCATTCTTCCAACTGGTAAACACTGCCGCTCTAGCATTCAAAACTTTTTATTAGATTTGATGCAAGTTCATTTATAATGTTTCAAAACAAGGCTTTGTTTTCAGTTCTCTCCACCTGCCAATGAAGCTCCCAAAGAGCACCTGTATCAACAACCCATGTTCTTCTCCTTATCACTCTCTATAAACACGCTGAAGAACCTTGAAGTGCAAAGTCAAAATGATCAAAGCAAAAAAAAAGAAAGGGCAATGTTTCCAGGACTCAAGCCTCCAGCCTCCAAGTGGAAGTGTTACTGCCTTTCCCTCTGATATTACAACACTTTTTGAATTCCTTTTATATCTTCTTTATATTCCAGGCTTAAAAGAAACAAAATTCTTAAGTGAAGCAAAATAGAAAAAAAAACATTCAAACCAGTATTATAAAAATAAAGAAAAAGATTTTAATCCATAGGTTAAAAAAAGAAGTAGAAGAAAAACTAATCCGTTCACATTAACAAATAGGAAATATTTGCAAAAATTCCANGGGTCATGCCCAGAGCAACTTCTTGGCCATTAGGGCAAATCTTCTTGCCTCTGCCAACTTAGCCAGCCAGGATCCTAATACAGAAAATGTCACAGTTGTGTTAACTTGTAGGTGAAGGATGAACCAGGTGCTAGAGATCTTCGATTTCTCTCAGGACGTGTGGAATTTGAAAATGTCTATTTTGGCTACACAGAAGGGTGAGTAGAGAAGGAAATAGTGTTGAACAAGAGGGTCGAACATGTTTCCAACAGTAGGCAAGTCACATGGAGAATAGGTACTTAATAAGCAAAGAAAGAGAAAGGTTAGTGATGGTGACAATGTGAATATGAGCCATATGCTATCTCATTAAAGCTTTCCAACTCTGGATTAGCTAAAGCTCAGAAAGAAACATGTTTTGTATCTCCCTTCTGAATTGTGACCAGTGAGAAAGATAGGGACCTTTTCCGAAAGTTGTTTGGGGAATTAGTAAAATAGTTCAAAAACCTTCTTTCTTTTATCTGTATCGTAATCCTCTTAACCTAGGTTGCTTCTGTGGAGCAACCATGGTCATTGTTATTCAAACTATTCTGCTGCCTCTCCAGCAAACTGGAGGAAGTCTGTTTCTGGAACAGAGGAGGGCATCCTGTGTGGGAGGTCTCACCAGGGAGCTTCAGGAGAGCAGTGAAGGTTGAGAGATGGGTGACTGCTCTCTTTTGTTATTCTCCACACAGGAAGGAAATTTTACATGACGTTTCCTTTACTGCAATGCCTGGACAAACTGTAGCACTGGTAAGGATATAGAAATGGCTCTGCTGTAAATGTTTTGTAATTGTACAGGGCTTTCGTTTATCTCCCATCTGATAGGAACAGTGACGGGCCCCAAATAAGGGGTCAAAAACAGAGGTTGAAACTTAAGTCTGTCTACTTTCTATTTCTTCTCATGGGGTTAATTCATAGGGACACTTTGCTTTCTTTCCCTTTCTCTCCAGGTGGGACCTTCTGGGTCAGGAAAGAGTACCATTATTCGCCTGCTCTTCCGTTTTTATGATGTGTGGGGAGGCAGCATACGAATAGATGGACAGGATATCTCTAAGGTAACAAACCCACTGGGAAGTGTTGATAATAGAAAGTCATCCACCATGGATGAAGGCATGGAGAAGGTTCATTTCAACTGAAGTGGGATGGGAAGAGGATGGGAAGTGTGCCCCAGAATATTATCTAGATAAATTGCCCTGTTGCAGCTTTACTTGACGTAACATACCGTATTTTTCGGAGTATAAGACACACCTTTTTTCCTCAAAAAGGGGGCTGAAAATCTGGGTGCATCTTATACACCGAATACAGCATTTTTTGCCTCCTGAAACCCCGCCCTCTTCACCAAAAAGGTCGTGCATAACCTTACGGAGGCTTTTAGAGACCTACTGGGGGCTGGGAAAGGCAGAAATGAGTGAAAAACGGGCCAGCTCCTAGCAGTACTCTATAAGCCTCCATAAGGCTATGCATGCAATTTTTTTGACAAAAAAAAACAGTTTTCACAAAAAATGGGCTGTTTTTTGCTCGTTTTTGACCCCC